ACTAAAACATTGAGGACAATGTTTGTTTTAAGTGTGGGGGAGGAACTCTACCGCTTTCATTTTATCACTTTTTAGTTTGATTTATTGTTTTATATTTTATTTCATACTTTTAGGAATTTTATATTTTTTTAACGTTATGTCAAAGTCTTTGCATGTGCTGTCAAGACTTTATGCGTGGTTTTCGCTTGTTATTCAAATTTCCCCATAATTTCAAATTTTCAAAATTTTAACCTCCAACAAATTTTTGCTTCGATTCATGACATGGTACTCTGAGAGTATATAGCCTGTTCAGGCTATGTTAGAAAAACTTGGGAAAGTTTTGATAAAATTGATATCATCCTGACACCCTTAACCCCTTAAATATGCAAAATCAATTTGAGTACCCATTATGCTGAAACCTTAAAGCTCTAGTTTCTTGTAGTAATCCCTAAGTAGTTTATTTAAGCAGTCAGCACCATCCTAAACACACTAAGTAAGAAACCGATGCAAATAAGTGTATGATATCTAGTTTAAAATGAGAAATTAAGAAAGAAAGAAAATTATTATGAATAAAAAGACACGTTCCTTCTAAGTTAGGTGCTCCTCACCCGATCACTTAACCCAATGGTACAAACTCTTTAAGTTCAATTGATGCTTAAGCATATTTGTAGAAAAAATGAAATAACAAATGAGATCATAGTCACTAACAGGTTTACTTGCCATGAATGTGTATGGGATAACGGGCTTAATGTGATTGCACTAGAATGAAATGGGTTGAAAGAGAGCATGATATATAGGTTGAGTTAGAATGACATGATTCAGGTTGGTCTGCATAAGTAGGGAGTTTTTGAAATTGTGTCATTACGGTATCCTTGGTATTAATATTTAGTACCTGTTGATCTAACATTATCCTAGCAGCCACGTATGATTAGAGTCTCACCGTGTCTTTGTTTCAAATTAAGCTTGTCTCTTTTTACCGTGTTGGTTGATTGCTTGAGAACAAGCAATGGTTTAAGTGTGGGGGTATCTAATAACGCGAAAGTATATCGTTTATTTGACTCGATTTACATGAATTTACTTGCGACTATTGTTAATTTATCTTGATTTATATTCTATTATACGGTTAATTTACTATGTTTTGCAGATTATGGTGAATTTGGATTAAAGAAAGAAAAGAAGAAGAAATGGAAGGAAAAGATAGAAGAAAGAAATAGAGAACAAAAACAGAAAAAGCAGATTTTATGAGTGTGACGCTCGTCACAGCTCCATGACGCCCGTCACGACCATCACGCTCGTCATGCCCTATCACGCTCATGACGACCATCACAGTCGTCACAGTTCCATTACGGTCGTCATGCATCAAATATCAGGATAACGTGCAAAAACAGAAGTGGCCACGAGCACGTTGAACTTAATTTCTTCCTGCACTTTCTCCACTAACTGCCCACTACAGGAAGTTACTCCCACTTCCTCCATAACTCACACATGATCTCTAGAAGTTGAGAAATGGAATATCTCCACAGAACAAAGGGAGGCCTTCGACGTATCGAAGTGCTGCCGAAATTTCCATTGAAGCCAAATTTACGTTCTTGCATTATTTTTCCATTTCCTTTCCTTTTTATTTTCATTTGTACCTCCGTATTTCTTTTTGCACTTTTATTTCGCCATAGTAGAATCCAGCCGACATTGTGGAGGACTACTCGAGAATTCAATTTCAGTACTACCTTCCAGGTTCTTATTAATTGAATATTTATTTTGTTTCTGTCATAATGCATGTTTTATTATTTTGCTGTATATGTTTATTTACGTTTGTATTAATTATCATGTCTAGCTAAATTAGTTTTATCGGTATGTAATCGAATTAGTAGGACGGGATTCGATAATACCCAGTGCACCTTCCCTTTTTACAAACAATCTTTCTGGCCGTAGTTTTTAATCTAAATTTCTAAATAAGTCACGACACTGAGAAGCTATTTACGGTGGTTTTGCCATGAGAGTGAGAAACCATATTAAGGATCAAGCTGGCACGTGAAAGCGTGGGGTTTGAACCAGATAGTAAAAACTAGGCATTGATTTTAAACACGGCGAAAGCGCTTTAAAAGAAATCAGAATCTATTTGTTTTTTAAAAGTAGTTTTAACCCCGAATGGGACTGCGAGAGCGTACATTCTGCCTTAGAATTATGACTCGAGTCAACAACCATCGTGAGGTAGAGGTCTTTAAACGAGTATTTTCTCCTGAAAGGTGTTTGCAAAGACTAAAAAGCACCAGCGACCTGTCGAATCCCCGAAAACTAAAACATTACATACCGATATCCCTTTACCGCTTTTACTTAAACCAATAACCTTTATTTCTTTTAAATTTAATTTCATTCGTATTTAACTTTCCAAATTCCATTAGCCTTAGCTTTATGCTGCAACAATAGATAACGGTAGGTTGACATTGGTCTCTGTGAGTTCGATAAATCTTTTATATTACTTTGATATTTCCGTGCACTTGCAGAGCATCAAATACCAAGGTTAAAAAGAATGATTGCTTTAATGCACAGTGCAAGCCAAATGACATGGCATCATACAAACAAAATAAGTTCAGGCACTATGCGATATCCATATAATGGGGAGGCATGAAATTAATTTGATTAGATACATCCTGATTTTGCTGCAGAACCTAGAAATGTGAGACTTTGATTATACTCTGATGGTTTTACTCCATATTTCCAAGCGCAGAAAGTGGATATTCTTGTTGGTCAGTTATTGTAACCCTTTACAACCTCTCTCCTGAGATGTGCATGACAAAACCATACATGTTTTTGACTTGCCTCATTCCAGAACCGTCGAGTCCAAAATCTAGAATCAATGTGTATTTACAACCTTTAATGACTTTCTTCATTCCATAATCTATGTGTTTTTGACTTGCCTCATTCCAGAATTGATGTGGGCTATTAATGATTTTCCCGCATATGGCATGTTGTCTGGTGAGGGTACACATGGAAAAATAGGTTGACCACATTGCATGGAATAAACTAAGGCCTTTACGTTGGAAAAAACGGGGAAAATCTTGTTGATTGATTGTCACCGCGTATTCCTACCAGAACATCATGTCAATAGAAGAAACGAGAATGATTTCAAAAAAGACGAGCGAGTAACAAATTTTCCTCCCCCTGGAGTGTCACTGGGTAAAGCAGGGAACCAAATTTGTAACCTACCAAAATTCACAAATAATTGTAAAGCATGCAAAATTCAAGGATATAGGGACACACACAATTGGACAAAAGAAATATTTTTTGGGGCCTCCCATATTGGAAGGATAATATGTTGCGACATATACTTGATGTTATGCATATCAAGAAGAATTTTTTTGATAATATATTTAACACAGTTATAGATGTTCAAGGCAAAACATAAGATAATGAGAAGGTTAGAAAGGACATGGAAATTTAGTGTAATCGAAAAGAGTTGGAATTGAAGTCTCAACCGAATGAAAAATTATTAAAACACAAGACTACTTACAGTCTAACTTCCAAAGAAACTAAAATGGATTGTTGATGGTTAAATGAATTGAGAATGCCTATAGCAGTTTCATATTTGTATTATTCATTAAATATTTTTATTAATAAAAAATTAATTTGCGACATGGAAATCATGTGTCAAATATATGACATGTTTTCAATTTTGTTGCATGCCAAACACAACGCAAACTGGCATATTTTCATTTTAATATCTTGAAACTCACGTGGCAAATCTGACAACCTAGCATGCGCATCTAAATTGTAGCTGTGAATACCTGATATACCAGCAGAACTGTGACAAAAAAATCATGTGGTAAAGTGTTACGACATGAAAATCACATGGCAAAGTTGTGGCGTGATTTTCACGTGATAAAAAAGTTGCCACAAATGCTCCTACCGCGTAATTTTTCACGTCGCTAATTATTGATTGTGACATGATTATCACCATTGTGTCGTGAAAATCACGTGGCTAATAATTATTATTTTTTATTTCCTACAACATGTTTGTTCATGTCGCTAATTTATGTTTGTGGCATAAATAAATATATATTTTTTTTAGTAATAGTACACTATTAAAGTAAAATGAGATAATGATAAGAATAGTGTCGAACTAGGTCTTCAGTGTGGCATCTGAAAAACAAATACGCATACACCAATCTAAATTACAAAACCCTCTTTCCAACCCTAAGATACAATTTGTTATTACAACACTGTTCACCGTATAAATACGGTGAATAGTGCATACGGTGTAAGTATTGGGTGTAAAAAAGGGTGTAGAAATAACATTTTTCTTGTTCAACATTGCTATGTTGACACCCATTTCTACACCTTACACCTCAATTACTGTTCACAAATACTTGAACAAATTTCTCAGAACATGGTTAATAGTGTGTATTTTATTGGTTAATGAAGTAGTGAAAGTGGTTAATAAATTATAGGTAAAATAATTGGCTAATAATGTAGATTTTTGTGGTTAATGCAACTGTGAAGTTGGTTAATGCGCAATCTTATATTTGTGTTATAAAATAAATTTTAAAAATAAATATTTTTTTTTTAAAAAAATAATATTTTTAAAAAATATATTATTTTAATAAAAAAAATACTGTTCACCGTATAAATACGGTGAATAGTGCATACGGTGTAAGTATTTGGTGTAAAAAAGGGTGTAGAAATAACATTTTTCTTGTTATTAATATCTCCCATGCATTTGAAAGTATATAATATTTATTCCGAAATCTAAATTTTTATTTTGTTTTGTTCTTTAGGTTTTGTTTATATCCCCATGATTTTTTATTATCTTTCTTTTTATTAATAATATTTACTTGTAAATTAGGATTTTTTAATAAAAAATAAGGAAAAAAATATTCTAAGTTAAAGTGACATTAATTGTTATTTTACACCAGCCTTTCGAATTTAAAATTCAACCCATAATATGAAAAAGAATCGAACTATTATTATGAAGATAACACTTCATAGACAACATGCAACGTAACAACAAAAATTAAACATCTCAATTAATGTGATATAGCGTCTATGGCTTCACCTCCAATATAACAAAGAAACACCATATCATCATTCAGTGCAGAAACTGAAGGATCATGAACAATATTTTCATTAGCCAAGCTTTGATCACAAGTGCGAGGTCCTTCCGAACCGTTGCTCACATCGTCATGTGCACCATCCGGATCTCCAGCCACCACAGATGTCGCGAGTTGAAACCCATAGATCAAATCATCATAGTTTTTTGTTGCACAAGTATTTAGGGCTTGAGAAGAAGGATACTTATTGATTAAACTTTTGAGGTATTCTTTACCTTTTGTAGCCTTCTCTATTGCCATCTCTAAATATGCTTTGGAAAGGGTAAGATAGTCTTTGGCCGAAGTAATTTGAGGGTTGGATTCTAGAAGTTTCAAGCAACGTTCTTGTTGATGTTTTTCTGCTACACCACCTGCACATATAGCTTCATAGAGGTTAGAGTTTGATGTTTGTGAAATGGCATGAGATATGAGGATAGTTGGAATAATGAGTAACAAAGATAAATATGTTGAAGGTGTCATTATTTTGGATTTTGATGTATGAAGAAAGTTATATTGGGTTCTTAATTTATAAACTTATGGTATCTCTTAGAAATTAAAACCTTCAATATTATTTTTAAAAATATTTATAAAATTAATCAAAATAACAATTTGCACTAAAGAGATAAGCATTCCCCAGATTGAGAATAATATCAAAATAGGACATTTATATCCATAAAATAACATGTGATAATTATTAAATATTGATTATTTTTAATCAATATTTGTATTTAAGAGCATATTATAGGTAGAGTTAAGCCACTTTTACACAGATTTTTTCATTACTATGTGATACTCAAATGGATATTTAAGAGAAAAAAATGATTCTCTTATTTACATACACCTTTCATTTGAGAAGGCTTCTTTCATGTTTCTTCATACTTAATTAATGCCAAAATAAGTGCCAATAATTGAAATTTTGATGTAAATAACCAAAATTTTCAATTTTAATATCAAATTAACCAACTTTTCACATAATTTTTAAGATAACCATATTTCAAAAAAAAAAATTAGAGAGCAGACGTGAATTAATTTGATGCCTCTTATATATTCTTTTAATTTTTTCTAGCTACCTGTTTATTTCCTACGAATTTGATGTTATTTGCGAATTTCTCTATAAATTTATACACGGATTTATCCACGGACAAAAAATAAAAAATTTCACTGATAAATGTGATGTTAAATCATCTTTAATCCTTTTTTATTTAAAACATTGCTATATTGAGAATTATGTGATTGGTTAATTTGGTATTGAAATTGAAAATTTTGGTTATTTACGTAAAAAAAAAATTCAATAATCATATGAAAGTGTATTGTAGGGTTTGGTGGAATTTATTTTTAAAAATTTTATAGTTTAAGTAAATATTTTAAAAATATAATTGAGTTGTTTAAATAATTTGCAAATATAATATAATATAAAAAATAAGAGAAGGCTATTAAAAAAACTAAAATAAGTACAATAGGTAGATGTGGGCGCTCTAAGAAAATAATTGATTTTTATCTGATTATTGTTTGACTTTCATTTCGCAACAAAAAATTTTATTCATTTCTCATGCATATTTTTTTTATATAAGGTTATAGATTAAATACGGTAAAAGGGGTGCATAATCCATTTACAACCAACACAACAAGAGAGAAGACAAAGAAAACACGAATGTGTACACCAAAACTATCCCGAAACTAAAGCTGGAGTGACACACCACTCCGACCAAGATAACATACTACTCGAGGCTTGTCCCACCAAAAGTCAATCCCACGACAACCATTTAATCATTCCCAACCCATTAAACATAATCAATAAACTACTATCAAAGAGAATGGAATGCCTACAAGCCTAAATAATCTAGAAAATAACTAACCCGAAGATCCACTTTTACATTCACTTTAACCGCCAGCTCAAACGCTAGTAAACGATCAATAGGAGACAACGAGTCAAAAGAAATCGTGATGTGAAGCCAATCAATAGTTTGAATCCATCAAACCTTTGAAATGGGGCATTCTCCAAACAGATGATCTAAATCCTCACTCTCCCCGCCACATAAATGATACAACAAACTTGAATACCACTCAAAACTCCTCGACGCTCTAAATATAATCTTTTAGGAAGATTATTCAACACTAACGTCCAACCAAAAATCAAAATCTTGCTAAGAGCCTTCGTCCTCCACGATCTCCTTAAAGCCTTAAAAACAGTTTCGTCGAAAATGAGTCAGCATTACAACAAACAAAAGTCCTGCCATAATAGTGTTTGACCAAAAAACCTGTTGAATTTCTCTACCACACGAACCGATTGAAATGCTGTCTGGCCATCTGCACCAGCTAGAGCAGCGCTGGAAACTCTACCAGCAGCAACGACACGTTATACTAAAGAGGACTAGCCTGCAGTGCCACGATCCAGAACCAGGTGATCTCCACCCAATATCTACTATGCATAATACAATTACATTCTGGATCTACAACCTGAAAAATAGAACCAAACTGTCTGCACAGCGGTTTAACCCCCAACCATTTATTCTTCCAAAAATCTACAAATGCAAGAATTTTTGAGTTTACAAGCTATAGAATCAACGAACCAGCTAGAATCATCTGTCATCACTCCTACCCGTTACACCCCAAAATTTGCCCAACCTTTTCTTTTGGCTTGGCTTATGTTTCATATCATTTAGAATTTGCATTTGCATGGCATTGGTTCTAGACAGGGGATCAAGATGTTGTTTTTTCCACTCAAGAGAAGAGTTTCATGTTCAAACTCAAGCAAGGTTACATTTTCAAGCCATCAAGAGTCCATCATCATCAGAGGTAGGTCTCAAAGCTCCTTGAGGGGAGAAAGTTTGTGTATAGATGCCACCTCCTATCTTGATGGTCATCAGAGGTTCGTGAGGTTACCTATTTGGATGAAGCATTATTCAAGGGTTCAGTAGACATCTTGAGGGTTCTCTATGGAAGTTGTATGATCACTCGATTCATTTGCAAGAGCCTTAGTCAGTGGATAAGGTGTTAGGGTTTCATTTGGTCAACCAAAAGTCAACTATGGACTTGAGAGGGCTCAAGACTTGGGTTTTGATCTTAGAAGCCATGGGAAGTCATCCTAGACCATCTCAAATTTCATTATGAAACTAGGATAAGAAGATTCAGGAGTTCAAGAGGTTACTGAATTAGGGTTTCCGATGAGTTCAAGTGTAAAATTCCCTCTTTTAGTTTCTAACTTCAAGGACAAATTTCACTATGATACAAGTTTTGTCTCATTTTCTATCAAACATGAGACTTGTTCATCGTCTTCCAAGATTTCTTTTAAGTACAAGAACTCATCCATTGGTTTTGTGCATCTCAAGTTATGGTATCAACAATTTGGGGTCACCAGATGAAGAGAATTTAGAGGTACTCAAAGATAGTTCACTTCCAAGGCATTTTTCATAAGGAACTAAGCTCTTCCTCATCTTTTCTCAAACATGAAAGTTGTTCCTCATTGTCTTAGCTTTCCAAAAAGTTCTAGAACTCATTATTCTCATGTGTGGAGCTCAAGTTATGGTCTTTACAAGTCAAAGGTATTTTTGGAAACCTAGTTTTAGGTCATTGACTTCAAGCACCAATTCCATGAACTTCAAGACCTCTAATCCAAATTTGTGCCACAAGAAAGTTGTGTCACATTGCCTTAACTTCATCTTGATCTTAATTTCCATGACCATTGATGATTTATAAGATCATTGAACCATGATGAAGATGAAAGCTTGAACTTTTGGACCTTTTATGAGTTTCTTCCTTTACAAGCCACTAAATGAATTGATTTTTGTTTCTTTAACACTATAACATCATCATATAATGGTCATGATGCATCTTACCCAATTTGGGCAAGCATGAGCCTTCCATTTCAATTCATTTTTGAACTTTCATGCCATAAAAAGCAAGTGTCCAAACTTTGTGTAAGATTATTACCTCTAATCAAAACCATCAACATTATTTTTCTCACCCCTCATTTATTCAATTTTATGACCAAAGAGAGAAAGATATCATCTAACCCATGTGTACACATGGAATTAAGATTTTTGTCCAACTTTGAAAAGCAAGCAAATAAGGCAACATGGGCCTGCATGAGTGTCATTAACCTATCATATATAAGCTACAACTGAACCCTAAATGCTCAAACTGGAAGGAATTGCGTAGATGTGTGAGATTCATCAAGAAATTTCAAGGTTTTCTCTCTCTTCGAATCTGAGTTTTCCTTGGGCTTTCCTTCAAGCCATTGCTCAATTCATCATCACTAAAGGTCAAGGAAGAGATTAAAGGCATTAAAGTGAAGCTTGCAACAAGTTTGAAGAGCCAATGGAGCAACTCCGTTAGGTAACATTCCACCCTTTAAATCTCTCATTCTAGGCACTTATTTAGGATCATAACTGGTGCATCTGAAGCCCTACTTCATGTAGGCCATGTTTGGATCATTTTTATGCCTGTTTGTTTGAATTTCAGTGTGTGCATCAAATCTTCGTAGCTTGATTTCTTTTTGTTCGAAGAGCCTTTTTAAAAAAACCTAAGACCATATTCTTATTCTACGTGAATAGAGCTTTGAAATGATGCCAAAAGTTGGGATTTTTATGGTGGTTTTCACCCAGCTCTGGTGAAGCTCGCCTGAGAAGACGACCGGAGCTAGGACTCTGGTGTCTGAGGCTTGAGCTGAGGTGGCTTAGTGATTTGGCGTTGACCTTGCATGCGTGTCATGTTGAATCAGACGTGCTTTTGTTTATTTGGGCCTTGGATTTTTGCTATCCAACCCCCCCCCCCCCCCCCCCCGCATTTTTGGAGCCCAAATGCGAATGAACTAGGATTCAGTTCAATCCAACTTTACTTATACACCTCCTCCCTCATTTTAATTTCTTTTTATTTTCTTTTATTTGCTATTTCATTTTAAATCATTTAAAAAGAGTTTTACTCTTTATAAAAATCCCAAAAAATACATTTATGTTATTTCAAGATGTTAGGATATTTTTCAATTTTTTTATTTTATTTTTGCTATTTTTAATTGAATTGTTGATTAAAGGTTTTATGGTTGATACCTTGAATTGAACTTGATCATTGACCATAATTAAAACACCTCCTTTGACCAACTTTACTCTCACACTTAGGTAATTGATTGAGGTATATTTGAGGGCTGGTTTGAGGTCTTGATGATCACCATTCAATTGTTTTTCATTGGCTTTAATTTTCTCCTCGATGCTTGCTCGATAAGTTGAACACATTGGCTTGATGGACCTAATTGGTAGTGCTTTGAATTGATTCTTACCTTGAGCTTTTGCACACTGATATTAGTTTGATTCAACTTGAGTTGGGTATTTTATTTGAATTTTATTTGAGTTTGTTTCTATTTTTAGTGGATATCTCAAATTCAAAGTGTTTTACCATGTGTATGCATACAATCCTTGACCTAGTTTTGGGATATGATCATGAGTGATCCCTTGAGCACCTCTTGAGCTTTGTTAGCTTTTGTTAAC